AACAGGAAGTGGACATGGGGCTGGAGGAAGGGGGCTGGGAGGACTTAAAGGGGCAGCCGGGCTGTGCGTGTGTGTGCACGCCGGCAATGGCTTCGCTCAGCCAGCATGCTGCCATAAGCACGTGCAGAGGAAGGAGCACCCAGGGTCGGCCGGCTGCACACACGGGCGTCTGTAACTCCCAGGGCCGGCCGGCCGCACACACAGGCGTCTGTAACTCCCAGGCTCGGCCGCACACACGGGCGTCTGTAACTCCCAGGCTCGGCCGGCTGCACACACGGGCGTCTGTAACTCCCAGGCTCGGCCGGCTGCACACACGGGCGTCTGTAACTCCCAGGCTCGGCCGGCTGCACACACGGGCGTCTGTAACTCCCAGGCTCGGCCGCACACACGGGCGTCTGTAACTCCCAGGCTCGGCCGGCTGCACACACGGGCGTCTGTAACTCCCAGGCTCGGCTGCACACACGGGCGTCTGTAACTCCCAGGCACAGGTGCATGTCATCCCGTCGCTGTCCCGCAGCGATGGACTTGGTGCACGGAGCCGATAATAACACACGTGGACCCTGACTGATGGTCAAAGCCGAAGTTTATTAGGGGCCTCAGACTTTATACACTGAGAGTCCGTACTGTTTCCCTCTCTTGATTGGAATTCCTTTTGTTTTGTATATTCCACCAGGTGTTCTCATTTACATGCTGGTTGTTGTCATGCAAATACTGTCCAATGAACTGCAAACCTGTGCTCACTGACCTTCCAGGCTCACAATGTCCTCCTACAATCCCCCAGTGAGCGTTCTGCAGGCGCTCCAGGAACACACTGGGACGGACCTGGGGACAAGCCAGTGACCTAGGGGACACGGATCGCATCTGCTGGGAGGCCGGGTGGTCCTGCTGCCATGGGTGCTGTGCTAGGCGCAGAGTATCCCGTCCCAGGCAGGGCTGCACCCAGCCCCCTGAGGCCCCTTCAGGAGGGTTGCCAGGGCAGAGCCCCCTCACCACGGGGGCGAGAGCAGTGCCGGGGGGCCACACGCTGCTGAACATTGCAGATGCTCACTGAGCTTTGTTGCTTTACGACTTCTGTCAGTTTTCTGACAGTGTGCTGTTACTGACAGTCCGGGAGTGCTGAGTGTGAGCACAGGGACAGTCGGGGAGTGCTGAGTGTGAGCATGGGGCCAGTCCGGGAATGCTGAGTGTGAGCACGGGGACAGCCCGGGAGTGCTGAGTGTGAGTGCACGGGGACAGTCCGGGAGTGCTGAGTGTGAGCACGGGGACAGCCCGGGAGTGCTGAGTGTGAGTGCACAGGGACAGTCCGGGAGTGCTGAGTGTGAGTGCACGGGGACAGTCCGGGAGTGCTGAGTGTGAGCGCAGGGACAGTCCGGGAGTGCTGAGTGTGAGCGCGGGGACAGTCCGGGAGTGCTGAGTGTGAGCACGGGACAGCCCGGGAGTGCTGAGTGTGAGCACGGGGACAGTCCGGGAGTGCTGAGTGTGAGCGCGGGGACAGTCCGGGAGCGCTGAGTGTGAGCACGGGGCCTTTCCACAGAGCCTGGCAAGCGCATGCTCACTGTGCTTGTGGCAGTTCCATGATGACTGAAGCCTGAGCGAGAATGGGGCACAGTGCGGCCCTTCGTGTCCTGTCAGGGCACAGCACGGTCACCCCGCTGTGCGTGGCCCTGTGCCCAGTCGCCCCACATCTCCTCTCCCTCACGGTTCCCACTTCTCATCACAGTTTATCTGCACGGCAGAGTTAGGAGGGAGAGAGCGAGGTGGGAAGTGGCGCCCCGGGGAGGGTGTGCCTCAAGGACAGAATCCAAGGTCACTCCCGTGTAGGTCGTAGGTGATGTCTCAGGCCTGTGCGCTGAACTGCCACCCACACAGTGTGAGATCGGCTGATGGGAGAGGTTGATCCGTGGTCCTGCGAGCCGTCCCTGGGAGGAGGGAGGCCGGATCGAGTGGTAGTGATGGAGCCAGAGTGATGTCCGGGTGTTCGGTGAAAAGCAGGTGCAGCTCCTGAATCCGAGAGAACCCGGGTGAGGGAACAGCCGTTTCCCACTGAAGGTCCTTGAGGTGGTGAGCTGAAAGCACAGTGATGGGTGGCTGAAGAGTCAACTCAGAGCTCCCTTTGTGAGACGGGCCGGCCAACCCCTGGCTGTGAGATCCAGCTGTTTAGACAAATGGACCCAGAGCTTGTCATTCTGTAGAGGTGGAAAGGTCTGGGGTCAGGGAGTCCCAAAGGAGAGCGAGGGTCCGTGCCACCCCCTCAGGAGAAGTCAAGGACACCTGGGGGTGTCTGAAAAACCCTCCCAGTCCCCATAGGAAAAGGATGGGTGGTTGAGATCCCTACGGCCTGGATTCTGTCTCCCGTGAGGAACTCCTGTCCCTGTTGGAGGACCGCCAGGTGGGTCGCCTGTGGAGAGGAGGGCTGGGCGTTGGCCGGGGGGACCCTGTATCCTTTATCTCCCCCAAAATTCAGTGAGGCTGCTGTGGAGGAGTGCAGGGCCTCGAGAGAAGGGCCACAGGAGCAGAGCTGCCTTGGTTGTACAACACACGGGCCTTAGCCAGTGCCAGGCCAGACACCAGGGGCTCTCTGAACCCCATTGGCAGTGTGGTCCTCATGAGCTGCTGACTGACAGTCCAGGTCCTCCCAGGGGAAGGCGAACAGGTGGTGAGGCTTGTGGAGGGGATGGCAGAGAAAGCGTTCTTGGCCCCGGCCTGTAAAGTGGGTGGCATCAGGAGGGACCCGGGAGAGGAAGGCGTGGGGGGGGGACTGCCAGCCGGAGAGGGGCACTGGGCGTTAGCGAGGCGGAGATCTTGGACAAGCTCCTGAGGGTTTACACGGACGGGAAGCCATTGGTCTGGTGCTCGGTCGATGATGGACGTAAGCCCCGTCGGTGCTGTGGTGAGATGGAAAGGGAGCCTGGTTTAAGGGGAATCTGAACGGGCTCATGGTGAGTGGCTACGACAGAGCCAGGGCTCAACCTGGGGAGAGGGAGGGGCCACGGTTCGTCTAACTGGACGCAGTCCGAGCCCGGGAGGAGTGAGAGCAGCAGGGCCTGCCCTCCGGACAGGGTGCGGGAGGCCTGCAGTGTGGACAGCGTGCCGCGTCGCAGCAATGGGGTGGGCACCAGGGGATGACCAGGAAGGAATGGGTGAAGGGTGTTCCCTCAAGGGAGCATGGCAGAGGAGTTCCGTCAGTACCCATAGCCAAGGTCTGGGAAGGATATGCGAGGCCAGTGTGAGCTGGCAGCCCCATGCCACCAGGAAATCGATGGGCTTACCCGCTACCTCAGTGGAGACCCAGGGTTCAGCCGGGGTGATGGGGGTGTCCGTCCCCGGGCCCTGCTGATCCTCAGCCAGTCCCAAGAGTTCGAGTGTTGGCAGGGTGCAGCGTTCCACGGAGGCAGACCAGCAGACCCCTCCGTATTGGGCAATCCCATTTCCAGTGACCATCGTCTTCAGTGTGGACATGGCTTAGTAGGCCTGTGAGGGCACGGGTATGGACACGGGGTGGGGGGGCACCAGTGTCCCTCCTGCCCACATTTAAGGCAGGTGGTGCCCCAGGCTCCACGAGGCGTGGCTGGCCATAGGGGCACCACCAGTGCCTGGGACTGGCGGGTCACCTTTTCCTGTAGCTTGCCTGCCTTGCCTGTTCAGCCCCTCCTTGTAAGTGCAAACTTTATAGGCCATTTTTACAGGGTCCTGGATCGATCGGGGTTTGAAGACCTTTTTCATCCATTTGAGGTTTTGTGTGTTTTTTTTTTTTAAAGATTTATTTATTTGGGCCCGGCACGGTGGCGTAAATGGTTAAGTCCTCGCCTTGCACACATGGGGATCCCATATACGTGCCGGTTCTAATCCCGGCAGCTCCGCTTCCCTTCCAGCTCCCTGCTTGTGGCCTGGGAAAGCAGTCGAGGACGGCCCAAAGCTTTGGGACCCTGCACCCGCGTGGGAGACCCGGAAGAGGCTCCTGGCTTCGGATCGGCATAGCATCGGCCGTTGCGCTCACTTGGGGAGTGAATCATTGGATGGAAGATCTTCCTCTCTGTCTCTCCTCCTCTCTGTATATCCACCTTTCTAATGAGAAAATAATAAAAATAAATCTTTAAAAAAATTTTAAAAATATATTTATTTATTTATTGGAAAGGTGGATATACAGAGAGGAGGAGAGACAGAGAGGAAGATCTTCCATCCAATGATTCACTCCCCAAGTGAGCGCAACGGCCGATGCTATGCCGATCCGAAGCCAGGAGCCTCTTCCGGGTCTCCCACGCAGGTGCAGGGTCCCAAAGCTTTGGGCCGTCCTCGACTGCTTTCCCAGGCCACAAGCAGGGAGCTGGAAGGGAAGCGGAGCTGCCGGGATTAGAACCGGCACGTATATGGGATCCCCATGTGTGCAAGGCGAGGACTTTAGCCGCTAGGCCATGCCGCCAGGCCCCATCCATTTGAGTTTTTCCGAATTTCCGGGGCTGACTGGGAAATGAAACGAGTTGCCAAGACCCCTGTGGAAGACTCCGGGTCTAATTTGGTATATCTTAAGAATGCCTCAGTCAGCCTGTTAAGAAACAGTGCTGGATTTTTGTCTAAGTCCTGCGTGATCTCCCACAATTATTAAAGTAGACCACTTTATTGGGAACTGCGTGCATGCCTGCCAGGAGGAGCTGGACCACGCGGGCCACATTGCGATGACCCTGCTGACATCCTGACGTTCCCAGTGTTGGGGCACATGGGGGCTGCCTTAGCCCCCGGGAAGAGGGCCTGCTTGATACGGTGTTGGCCGGTCCACGGGGTCCCTAGCTGCCTGCGGGATGCAAGCCCATTCCTCAGAGGTCGGCAAGGAAGTAAGAAAGATATGAGCGACCTGTCTGGCCTGGGGCTTGGGGCTGGAGCTGCGCTCTGTGTTCAGTTGCTTAAATGCAGATAGCCCCTTAGTCCTTTGCTGACTGACCTGTTAGCCAGGCAGGGCAAGCGTGCTGGGAGGAACTGAGCGCGGCTGTTTCTCCCCGTGACAGGGTGAATCGGTGAAATACTTCCTGGACAACTTGGACCGCATCGGCCAGCTGGTGAGTCGGGACTCCTGCCCGGGCCCTGGCTGCGTGTGGGCGGCGTGTGTTGTGTCACGTAACCGGGAGTGACCATGTCTGTCTCGGGGACGGGCTGAGCCAGGTGGGAGCCGGGACCAGGGCCAGGCACGCAGCCCAGGGCGTGTCAGCAGAAGGCCACATCGGGACCTGGAGCGGGGTAGGCGGAACCCCAGCTGTCAGAATTGGGGTGCTCGGGGCAGTTGGTCAGCGCCCCTGCAGTGTGACACTCCAGGCTCCCCCCTCCGTCTGTTTGATTTCAGTGAATTTACTAAAAGTCCCAGGGCCACTTCCCACCGGGCTCCTGCAGACATGTCCCTGTGGCTCTGCCCCTTGCCCACAGGCCACAGGCAGGGCTGTGTGCCTGGACACGGCCATCCGTGTGTGGCTGCAGCCCGAGCTCGGGCAGCACTGCAGACCCTGCCTCAAGGAGCGTCTGGGGGTGTGGGGTCACAGAGGGGTGCCTCTCACAGCAGCCAGCACAGGCGGGTCTCTGCCACCGATGCCTGCCGCCCGGTCCCAGACGAGACCCCTGGTTCTCTCACTGTGTTTCCGAGCAAATCTGGAAAAGATGGATACATTTGCCAAACCAAGTTTGGTTCGGTTTGGCTTCTCGTGACACGGCCTCTGCCCCCACCATGCCCCGTCCTGCCCCGCGCTGGCTGTCCCTGTTGACCGCCCCCTCCTTCTGTCCCTGGCAGAACTACCTGCCCAGCAAGCAGGACATCCTGCTGGCCAGGAAGGCCACCAAGGGCATCGTGGAGCACGACTTTGTCATCAAGAAGATCCCCTTCAAAATGGTGGACGTGGGCGGCCAGCGCTCGCAGCGGCAGAAGTGGTTCCAGTGCTTCGACGGGATCACGTCCATCCTCTTCATGGTGTCCTCCAGCGAGTACGACCAGGTGCTGATGGAGGACCGGCGCACCAACCGGCTGCTCGAGGCCATGAACATCTTCGAGACCATCGTCAACAACAAGCTCTTCGTCAACGTCTCCATCATCCTCTTCCTCAACAAGATGGACCTGCTGGTGGAGAAGGTGCGGACGGTCAGTATCCAGAAGCACTTCCCGGACTTCCAGGGCGACCCGCACCGGCTGGAGGACGTGCAGCGCTACCTGGTCCAGTGCTTCGACCGGAAGCGGAGGAACCGCAGCAAGCCCCTGTTCCACCACTTCACCACCGCCATCGACACCGAGAACATCCGCTTCGTGTTCCACGCCGTGAAGGACACCATCCTGCAGGAGAACCTCAAGGACATCATGCTGCAGTGAGGACGGCCGCCTCGCGTGGGTGAGGCCTGGGAGCGCGGCTCGCTCCCTTTCTGCCCAAACCTCCCCTCTGACACGGTTACCCCAGGACAGCACACACAGGCAGGTTGACCCGAGGTGCTGCCAGCCTCAGTGCAGGGCCGCCGTCTGTTCCCCAGGGAGCACACTGCCTTCTCACTTCTGACGCCAGTGTCCTCAGGGCCCGGTCCAGGCGTGTGCGTGGACCCGCCGCAGACGGTGGCCGAGTGGCCCCGCCTACCCCGTGCCCACCCAAGTGGCCTTGTGGACGACTCCCCCTCCTCTGTGTGGGTCGTCCTCCATACTGCTTCCCCCAGGAAGCTGTCAGCCTCACCCACCTACTTGGGCTCCTGAAAGCTGGTGAGGCGGCAGCTGTGCCCACCAGGGCCGCCCCCACCTTTCAGGAAGCCCCGAGCCCTGGCCAGGGCCAAGGCCCCATGCTGCCCACCCTGGTGCCTTCGCAGTGTACGCTGCCCTCACCGTCGTCACAGACCCACCTGCTCCACGACCGCACACACAGCAGGAGCAGGGGGTCGGCCACTCACTGTGTCCGACGTGGTGCATTCCGGCCCATCCCCGGGGACTGACCCTCCCAGATGCTCTCACTCGCCAGGGATGTGGCCTCCAAAACACAGCGAGCGCTTCTGCCAAGCCCTGTCCCAGGGCTGTGCCATTGCCCGCCAGCCCTGGCATCCCTCTTGGGTGGTTTCCAGCAAGACAGGCAGTTGGGCACGTGGTGGGCGGGCCTGCCCCAGTGGGTCCAGTGAGGGGTGGCCTGAGCCTACCTGTGGCTACTCAGTGCTGACGCTCGTGCCCCGGGGCTGCCTGCAATGAGAGCCCGCGGCCAGCCTCGAGCAAAGCCGTGCTCTGGTGCGCTCGCCTGGCCCCACCGGGCAGCACAGTATGAGCTCCGGAGACCCACAGTGTGAGCTCTGTCTCAGAGCCCAGAGGAAACACAAGCCCACCCTTGGCTAGTCCATTGTCCTCCGCTCTGTCCCCTTGGGGCTGAGGTCAGCCCTGGTGGGGAGCAGGGTCCTCTCCCGTCTTTGCTGCCGCCATCACCCTGGGCCCATGTCACTGTGCAGTGTTCCTATTGAACTGAAGGGGCCTGGGTGGCCGTGGTGGGTTGGGGCCCTGGTGACCCCTCTGTGTGGGGTGTGGTAGGGCTGAGGCAGTGTCCAGGGCTGCCTCACCAGCCTGCAGGCCTCACTGTCACCATGGAGGCGTTGGGGAGGCAGGCGGTGGGTGCCTTACCTGTCACACCATGAAGCGACAATAAAGTCCTTGGAATGACGCTGTCCTCGGAGTGGTGCTGCGCACACGGCCGGCGGGGCTGCCAGAGCCTGGGTGGTGCCCGGCGGGGACTGCTGGCAGTGTCTGACTGAGTCTGGGAGTTATTCAAGTCCCGAGTTTCTCGTTATACAATACCACCAAGCATTCGAAAGAAAGCACTGATTTTTCAGTCCTGAAAATTCCAAGCAAGTAAGTGCGAGGCTGAGTGAAAGTCTGACCGTGCCTCGGTAGACAAAGCCTGGCAGGAAACCATCGGGAACACGGGTGTGAGGCCAGGCCCGTGCAGGGTGAGGCGCCTGTGGCAGGGTCTGGAGTGGGCACCCCGCATGCTGGTGGAAACCCCGGGGGTCCTGTCCCTTCCCACAGAGCCAAGACCTGGGCAGAGGTGCCCACGGACACACACACACACAGACTTCCAGGCAGTTACAAGCTCAGCCCTGGCTCCTCACACCCCAAGCTACCCAAGGCAGGCCCCATGTGCAGGAAGCTGGCTGCAGAAGGTTCCGGAAGGTCGTCCTCCCTCAGTTTCCCTACGTGTGTAACAGCCTCAGAGCTGGCCAACAGGCAGGGCGCCAACCTCACTTTGGGGTACCTGCCTTTTTACAGGAAAGGAGCTGGCTTTGTCTCTGGAAAGCTGGACACGCCCAGCCCTGTGCATGCTCGCCCAGCCTCCACAGGCCTGGCCAGGGCACGTCCAGGGGCAGCGGGGCGCAGGGCTGGCAGCACATCCCCTGCCTGGGAGGCACCCTCCCATGACCGTTCCTGGCCTTGCCAACTGCCAGCTGGCTGTGCAGGGGCCGCCACCTCCACCTCACAGCCTTGGAGGTTAGGTTCAGGCGTCCACACTGTCAGCATCTGACACAGCCCACCTCTGGAGGCCCTAGGGTGAGCCGTGGGCAGGGCACGCCTGATGGACGGCCCAGGGGCTTGGCATTCAGACAGAGGTGAGCTGTACAGCTTCCCGCCCGTCCTGGCTGTCGGGAGGAACCTGAACATACCTGTCTAGGCCCAGCTGCCTGGGCAGTGCCACGTGGGTGGGCAGGATGTGGGTGCTGAGTGCCTGGCTACATGCCAGCCGCAGGCTCCTCCCCTCCGCTGTCCCTGACCCCAGGCCGGGGCTGGAGAGAGGGGTCAGCAGGCGCAGTGCAGTTCCTCCTCAATGCCGAGCCGGCAGAGCTGACGAGAGGCTGCGGGAGGGGGCGGCCTCGTGCCACCCAGCAGGTGAGAGGCCACAACCTCTTGCTCTGCTGCCCCTGAGGCGGCCCACACGTGGGTGGCAGACCAGTCAGTCCCACGAGGAAACCCAGGCGCACTCAGCACATGGCATCGGACACAGCCCGGCCAGGGTGGCCACGCCGGCTCTGGCCATTTGCCAAGAGCCCAAGGTCACCTGAGGGGCTGAGGTGGGACAGGCCCTGCAGGCAGGGCCCCACAGCCAGGGCAGCCCTGGGGGTGCTGTGCTACGAGCGGGCTGGGTCAGGGACATCGCTGGGATAACACTGGCCGGGTGAAGGCGCAGCCTGCTGTCAGGGACACTCGTGGCCACCTGGGGACGGGGTGTTGTCACGCCCTCTGGCACCCTGGGCACTGAGGGCTGTGAGCCTGTAGCAACCCGGAGGACTGCGCAGGGGGCGCCCAGCGTCGCCCACAAGGCTGTGGGGCACCGCCCGCAAAGATGGTGGGTGTGGAGTGCCTGTGTCTTCAGGGAAAGTCTGCTCACAGGGGATCTGCGGCTGGCGTCCTGCGTTAGGAATCCCACAGATCCAAGGGCCGGACCTGCCCAGGAAGTCGGGGCGGGAGCAGGGACTGTCTGTCACGGCACTCCCTTCCGGCTCAGCCAGGCCCTCCGTCCGGCAAGCCCCTGGCGGTGACCTGTCATAGGCAGCGCTCCCCTCTGCGCTGCACGGCCCGCCCTGGCCCTGCATGGATGCAGACAGAGCAGGGAGCAAGCAGCACACAGTTCTGGTAGAGCTTTTTAAAAATTAATTGGTTTTTGTTGGAAAGTCAGTTCTACAGAGGAGAGACAAAGAGGAAGATCTGTCCCATCATTCACTCCCCACGTGACCACAACGGCCAGAGCTGAGCTGATCCAAAGCCAGGAGCCAGGAGCCTCTTCTGGGTCTCCCACGCGGGTGCAGGGTCCCAAGGCTTTGGGCTGTCCTCAGCTACTTTCCCAGCCACAGGCAGGGAGCTGGATGGGAAGCAGGGCCACTGGGAATAGAACAGAGTCCATATAGGATCCCAGCGTGTTCAAGGTGAAGACTTTAGCCACTAGGCTACTGCACTAAGCCCTAGATCTTTAATTTTTAAGCTAGGGTTAGAGGTGCGTGGGCCATGGTCCCTTATTTTGTGGAAGGGGCCATCTCAGCACCTTCCTGCCCTGGGGGTCTGAGGCCTGGCCCACCCTGAGGACGCAGAACATGGACCAGGACCACACCTCTCCCGCCGTCCTTCCCAGGGTTGGCCATGTGATTCCCGCCTGGGAAGCATGAGAGCGAGAGGCCCCCCCACCTCACCATCCTGTGCCCCAGGCCAGCCTTTGGCAGCAGTGCACAGAAGTGACCATGCTTAGCCCAGGCCTTCAGTCCCCACGAGGCCGCCTGCTGGCCCGGCAGCCTCCTGGGCCGCAGAGCAGAACAGGGCCTGGCCTAGCCCTCCTCTCACCTCCCAACCGTCTGTGTCATCCTGAGAGGCCCCTGTACCGTCCACCCACCATCCTGGCCTCCCCCACAGCGACTCCATGGGCAGAGCCGGCCACCCCACCCTGGCACCAGGCAGACCAGTGAGGGCACTGCAGTAGGGTGAGGCCCAGGGCTCAGCATCCCCTCCCTCCTTGCTGTCTCCCCTACCTGGCAGGCAGGTACATGGCAGCACGCGGTCCTGGCGCACACAGGCCAGGCTAGGTCTCGCCAACCTGGTGAGGGGGCTCAGCCTTGGACAGCCTTCGGGTGCTGAGTCGCCACCGCATCGAGGAGAACTTGTTTCCCAGCACCTTGCGCAGCCCCGAGCTGTCCCTCCCGCTGGGCAGGCCCTGCCTGGCGGCTGGCAGCTGCCCGGTGAACAGGTCCCAGCGCTCCAGCGCGTCCACAGCTTGGTCTACCTTGGCCAGCTCCTCCTCGGCTACCTCCTGCTCCAGGGCCTCGATGCAGGCAGCCAGCCACCGCCCGTGCTGCTCCACGGCCTCCTCTGGGCCCCCAGGCTGTGGCACAGCGTCCACGGCCAGGCAGCTGGGCCTGTCCTCAAGGTTGGGCTCCGGGCCCTCGGGGCACAGGTGGCTCAGCACGTCAGGGGGCGGAGGTGCCAAGGGGCTGCTGGCCAGCTCTGAGTCACTTTCACAACACACGCCTGAGTCGGTGCTGAAGGCCACGGACGCCTCCTGGCCAGGCCAGCTCTCGGCCACCGCCCAGGTCCAGGCGTGCAGTCTCTAGGGGAGAAAGACAGCCCTCAGGACCCCAGCTGTGGTGTGGCCGGAGTACCATTCGCCTTGCAGGCACTTGGTGGCCTGGGGTTCTTAAGACCCCGTGATTACACGAGGCTTGCCTGGCGGCATGGTGGGTTCATCTGCCAGCATCCATCCCAGGAGCACTGGCTGCTCCAGCAGGGATGCAACAGAGGACCGTCTGGACTTCCTGGCTTCAGCCTGGCAGCTTCTGGTGGGGTGAACTGGCAGGTGGAAGACCGATGTATTTTTATTGGAAAGGCAGAGACAGATGTTTCATCCCCGCCCAGTTCACTCCCCACTTGGCCACAACAAAGTGGCCGATCCAAAGCCAGGAGCCTCCTCCGGGTCTCCCATGCGGGTGCAGGGTCCCAAAGCTTTGGGCTGTCCACGACTGCTTTCCCAGACCACAGGCAGGGAGCTGGATGGGATCCCAGCGCTTGCAAAGCAGGGACTCAGCTATTGCGCCAGGCCCAGATGGAAGCCCTTTGTAAATGCCTCAATCACAATGTTACTGTGAAGACTACTGAGAACCTCCAATTCCAGGGGGTTACAAGTGGAATAGTGGGGTACAAGCCTCTGCCAGGGAGCTGGCATCCCATACGGGTACCCGTTCAAATCCGATTCAGCTCGCTGCTAATGATCTGAGAGATCAAAGGAGGGTGGCCCAAGTGCCTGGGCCCCTCCACCCATGTGGGAAACCCAGAAGCTGTCCTTAGGTCTGCACAGTTCCAGCCACTGCAGCCTGTCGGGACAGAATGTCGGCTGGGACATGGATGTCTCTCCCTAACTCTGCCTTTCAAAAACAAATTAATCGGGCCCGGCGCGGTGGCGCAAGTGGTTAAGGTCCTCGCCTTGCACACCCGGGATCCCATAGGGTGCCCGTTCTAATCCCGGCAGCTCCGCTTCCCTTCCAGCTCCCTGCCTGTGGCCCGGGAAGGCAGTCGAGGACAGCCCAAAGCTTTGAGACCCTGCACCCGCGTGGGAAACCCGGAAGAGGCTCCTGGCTTCAGATCGGCATAGCATCAGTGAATCATCGGACGGAAGATCTTCCTCTCTGTCTCTCCTCTCTGTATATCTGCCTTTCCAATAAAAAAATAATAAAAATAAATCTTTAAAAAAAAAAACAAATACAAATTAATCATCAAAGGCCCAGTTCCAAAATGCTCCTTACTATATTGCCTTGTGCTGACCCTGCGGACAGTACGCCCTCTTCCTTCACCAGTGCCCTAGAGAGCTGGAGGATTAGGCTGCTGGCCCCCAGAACAACAGAGGGTAGTGCCCAGGCACCTGCAAGCAAGGAGCCTGGTCTGCAGCCAGAGGCCCAGGGCACATCGCTCCAGCTGGCCCGCGTGGGCCTGGTCAGCCCCAGGAGCCTGGGTGCCGTGCCCCACTGCTGGGTCCCTGCGCACTCCCGGCCAGCCCACACGGGCCTGGTGTGCACTCGGAGGCCCCGGGCACACCCACAGCACTGCTGGGTCCCTGCGCACTCCCGGCCAGCCCACACGGGCCTGGTGTGCACTCGGAGGCCCCGGGCACACCCACGGCACTGCTGGGTCCCTGTGCACTCCCGGCCAGCCCACACGGGCCTGGTGTGCACTCGGAGGCCCCGGGCACACCCACGGCACTGCTGGGTCCCTGCGCACTCCCGGCCAACCCCACTCACCTTGTACCTATCAAGGAGCCTGAAGCCCAGGATGTGCTGCAGCTTGCGCAGGCAGATGGGGCAGAGGTCCAGGGGCCGACGCAGGGCCTGGTCCAGGCTCAGTGCCCCCTGCATGAGGCAACGCAGCCAGCGGCAGTTCCCCAGGCCCAGCAGGTGGCAGAGCTCATGGCAGGCGACCTGAGGAAGAGGGCAGCCCTGCTGGGAGAGGGGGCTGGGCACTGAGACCCCGCCCTGCAGCTCGGCTGACACACAGGGCCCCTGAGCCTGTGCGTGCCCACGCGGGGCCACATCAGCCTGACCCTGCACCCACCTTGCAGCATTGCACCAGACCCAGGGCACTGAAGCCCAGTGCTGGGCCTTCGCCCTGACCAGCAGCCGCCACTTCTGCCAGAACCGGCTCGGGCCCGACCCACAGGTGCTCCCTGGAGAAACGGGCAAAGCTGCAGACGCCCACCTCTGGGGAGAGACAGAGAAGGGCTCAGTCAGGCTCTGGGCCCTGGAGCCAGCAGGGGCTGCCGCTGGAGCCGGCAGGGGGTGCCGCTGGAGCCAGCAGGGGGTGCCGCTGGGGCCGGCAGGGGGTGCCGCTCACCGTGGCCCGGCAGAAACTTGCTGAAGGTGAACCTCCAGGTCTCGTGGGGGTACAGGTCATCCAGCGTGAGGCCCAGCACGCACAGTGCGTCCTCCGGCTTGCTGTTCTTCAGGAATTCCAGGATGCCATCTGCAGCGAGGGGTGGGGTGGGCTCAGGGCAGGCTGCAGCCCCGAGCCAGCCTACACACGTTAGGCTGGGTGCAGCTGAGCAGAAAGGCCAGCGCTGGCCAGCAGGAGGCAGCACGGCTGGGCTCCACCACGGTCCCGGGATGTGGGAACAAGCCTGGGAGGATTGTACCAGCTAACCCGGGGGCGGGCGAGGGGAGTAGGGGTGCCTGTGGGGCTCACAGGAGGGGGGCTGGGGGGAGCTCTGCCCTGGAGAAGTTAGGAAGGACAGGATGGAGTGAAAGAGAGACAGCGGGCACCAAGGGCACGGGTAGACTCCCCAGGGGATGGAGGAGGAAGAGGGGCCCAGTGACGGAGAGGGGGTGAGCGGTGGGTGCCAGCTGCTGGGAGAGCCGTGCTCCAGGCTTAGCAGAGGCTGGCATTGTGGCACAGCAGGCTGTACCACCATCTGCAATGCCAGCATCTACAGTGAATGCACCGGATCGAGTCCCGTCCAGCTCCTGCCTGTGGCCTGGGAAAGTTGAGAATGCCCCAAATCCTTGGCACCCTGCACCGTGTGGGAGACCCAGAAGAGGCTCCTGGCTTTGGATCGGGAACAGCACCGGCCACTGCAGCCAGTGGATAGAAGCGTTCTGCCTCGCTCTCCGTAGTACTGCCTCTCAAACATAAATCTAGTTTTAAAAAGATGTAGTCATCATTTTTTTAAAAAGCACTTTAGCTGCAGCTAGAGATACAGTCAGTTAACCAGAAGATAATAAACTGAGACTAAAGTAAGAACAGTGAAAGAGAGAATGTGGGGGAGACAGGCTGCCACCCCCTGTCCCGGGAGGATGGAGGCAGCGGGCCCCAGGGCTAGCCCAGCGCCTTCTCGGGACCACCGTCACTCCCAGTGACCCACAGGGCCTAGGGGGTCTCTCCCGAGCCCGGACCTCACCTGTGTGCAGCTGGGGGCCGGCCAAGTCCTGCCCGGGACGTGAGGCGCAGCGGATGGAGGCGGCAGCCACCGGGGGCAGGCACCTGACCTGCAGGCCTGGGAAGAAAGCCTCGGCGCACCTGCGCAGGTCATCCAGCAGGGGGCAGCGCGCCGGGCCCTCGCTCAGACCTGGGGGCAGAGCAGGGGAGACTCGGCAGACGGGCATCACCTGGGGGCAGGGTGCCAGCAGGGGCAGCCAGGAGCAGGGGGAGGGGTGTGTCCACACGGCTCCACTGGACAGACATGGGCCAGGAGACCTGTGGGAGAGTGGGTGCAGCCACCCCCCAGGAAGTTAAGCAAGCAGGACCCAGATCAGCCCACACTCTGACCCGGGCAGTTAGTGGGGGCCAGGAGGTCAGGGCCAGAGGGCCAGAGCTGCACAGCATGCAGGAGACAACAGGGTCAGCGTGGGCCAGGGCAGCCTGCAGTGCACTGCAGTCCGTCCCCCGTCCCCGAGAGCCCGGCCTGTGGGCACAGAGGGCTGTACAGGCCTGGAGGGTGCCAGCTCTGACCGTCCCCTCACCATGCTGACCGTCCTTACCTATGGGCTGTAGGTAGATGTGCCTGCGGGCCAGGCCCGGCCGCCTCTGGCCCAGCGCCGCATGGAAGGTCTCGAAGTCCTCGGGGGCCTCGGGGCGGCTCAGCGGCCAGTCGAAGGCCGAGCACACCAGGGGCGTGCCGAAGAGCATCCTGCGGGGGCTGTAGGCCTCGGCCAGGAAGAGCCGCTCGGCCGGAGAGAAGGTGGTGGCGTAAAGCCGCTGCAGCGCCACATCCCGGGACAGCAGTGCGTCCTTCAGGGCCCGGGGCCCAAAGCTCAGCTCCTGAGCCGGCCTGCGCTGCAGCATGGCGGGAGGCCCTGCTGCTGCCCATGGACCATGCCTGCCTTCTGCAACCTTCCCTCAGACCATGGCTGGGCCTTCTCACAGAGGCACGGCACCTGCAGGTGGGCGGGCACACAGTCTGTGGGGGGGTGGCAGAGGAGCCGAGAGTGCTCGGCGGGGGCGGGGGGACATTTCCAGGAGCAGACAGAGTGGGGCCACGGGGCCTGCACCAGGACCCCAGCACGGGCGAGCAGAGGGCAGGGCTGGGGACACGGTCAGCCTGCACTCCTGGCCAGGTGGTTGGGGAAGCAGAGTCCCTGCAGGCACCCCAATTCCCTTAACACCAGCAGAGGCCTCCGTTCACGGTGAACACAATGCCACCTGCTGGGAAGCAGGGGTGCCAGGCAGCTGGAGCCCACTGCAGCCTGGCACACACACCTTCCTTCCCATCCTGAGGCCAGCCACAGAGCAGCCACCACGGCAATCCTGATGCCAGCCACTCGCCAGCATCCAGCCAATCCTGGGCTCCAGGGACCTCCCCAGGGCTCAGGAGACAGAGGGACAGACACCTGTGGCCAGGCACACGCCCGGAGGCCCTGACCCGGCACCCTAGGGCCACATCCACTCCACCTGGCGCTTCAGCCAGCCCCAGACACAGACACACCTGCCCGGGTGTCTCCCACCCTCTCCTCACCCCCACCCCAGGTGAGGGGCTCTGCTGTACTGGGGCAGAGCCTCCTGCCAGCGTCCCCCCCCAGAAGGAGGGGCCACAGCACCAACCCAGGCCAGCCGGGGAATCAAGGTCAGCCTGCCCAAACAGCCCCAGACGTGTGCTCGCCACCTGACCGCTGTGACGCCGGCCCCAGGGGTAGGGCAGCCATTTCGGAATCGTTTTGCAAACGCTGTGAAACCCCACTCAGCTCCAGCGTGCATGGACCTGATGTCCTGCAGCTTCCACGCCTCCCTTGAGCCCGCCTCCACCGGGATGGCTTCCTTCCCGCACTGGGCCAGGAAAGGACCTGGCCGGGAGTGTGCCTCGCCTCCTCCAGGTCCCCGGGTTCTCAGCCGACACCCACGGGCTGGGGCTCGAGGAGATGCGGTTCTCCGGGCAGCTCCGCACCGCCCTCCCAGGAGAACCCGGGACCCTTCCGCACACAGGGGACCGGGTGGGCGTGACTGCCTGCAGCCAGTCCGCGCTCCAAGCGCCCTACCTCGCAGCCCTGCGCTCCAGCAGGGCCCCGAAAGTTGGGGATGTCCTGGCGTGACGCGAGCCCCAGGCCGAGGCTGCTGTCCCCGGAGGGAGCGTCCTGCGCCCCTGCCCCTCGCTTGCTTGCCGCGGCCGCCACCACATGCGCAGAGATCACAGGGGACTCACCTGCCGTAGCGGGCGAGCGGGACGGGGTGGAGAGGTGACCTCGGCGCAGGTGGGCGAGGTGGGCCGAGCTGCCCTGCCACGCTCCCGGGAGGAGGCGTGAACATGGTCCGGGAGGACCCAGCTTCGGGGCGCGCCGCAGATGGCGCTGCCAGATGGAGCCTGGCCCCCACCCCACCAGATGGCCGAGCGGACGCTGGCCAGAGCATGGCCCAAGGTCGGGTCACCGGGCACCTGCCAGGCTCTGGGAGGATGAGGGGTGCCTGCCTCAATCAGGTTTCACCCACGATCAGGTCCCTTAGGAACCAACTGATGGTCCCCAAGCCCTCTGTCTACCAAAGGGGCTGTCCCTCCGGCGGGAGGCTGTGCAAGGCGCAGCAGGGGCAGCAGCAAGTCCCCACACTGTGCCTGTAGCTGGGGCCGCCTCCCTCCTTCCCACCCAGCTCAACTACAGTGGCCCCAAGTCTCTAGCCACCAGACTGCCCACCCCAAGGCCCCGGGGCGGTGCTGTGGCCACCTGAGGTCCTGAGGGTGGCACTGCCTGCACCCCCTCCACAGCTCATGCCCCCAGTTTAGGTGACCAAGATGGGTGCCAGGAGATGAATGAGGGTACTGGCACCTAGTCTGAAGCCATGAGGCAAACCAGGCTCCCCTGGGGCAGTGTCTGCTGCTTGGACCTATTCCTGTCCCTCCCCAGGTGGGCGCTACAACCTTCCAGGTTCCAGCCCAGCACACAGGGACCGCTCCACCCCGCCATGGCCAGCAGTGTCCTGGGTGGGCAGCTTAGGGAGGTGTTGGGTCTTACTGATCCAGCTTCCCAGGGCCTTATCTGGGTGGGACAGGTGCATGTGGGGGGGCGCAGGGTGGGGAGGGGTGGGGACAGAGGCCTGGGGTTGCAGGGAGGCCTGAGAGGGGCATGGGCAGACACCGAGGCTGCACAGCCCTTCTCCCTGCGACTGAGCCCCACTGCAAGGCCACGCCCCTCTCCAGCCCTGCACAGCAGGGGAGGGGCCCTGGAGCAGCCCTTCTGGCTGCAGACACAGGTGAGCCCCCGTCCCCAGCTCCAGGTGCCAGGCCCTCCTGTACCAGTGCCAGATGCCAGTCAGGGGCCTTTCCCCAGGGCCAGCACGGTGACCCTGGATAATGAGCACAAGGCTGGGGGGTCAGGTGGTAGAGGTGCCAAGAGCCCCTGCACCCACGTGGGCGACCCAGCAGCAGCTCCTGACTTCAGATGGGCTCAGCCCCGGCAGTGGGGGCCACATGGGGAGTCAACTAGCTGACAGAAGGTATCTCAGCTCTGTCTCTTTCATTCTGCCTTCCAAACAAATAAATAAATCTTAAAGAAAACAGAAAAGAAACGTGGGGTAGGTGAACGTGTGCAGTGCTGGGTGGGGGCCGGGGAGGCCAGGACAGGCGACAAAGGCCCCTGAGCATGAAGGGGGCTCTCTGCCAGGCTTGGGCGCCCTGGCCACTGCCCAGCGGCCCACTCTGGCCTCTGAGGCTGCCTTTGAGCCAAGGGACTTAGTATTCAGCTGGGATCCTGGCTCTGAGGGCCCTTGTTCCCTGCAGGAGACTCAACACCTCGGAGCTGCGCCCCATGGTGGGGGCTGGGACAGGCGGGCAGGGTCCCCCGAGGGGCAGTTGCCCATCTCGCCCACACTATCTCCCTCGGCCCCCTCTCCCTGGAGCCTCCTGGTCTGGGGGAGACCATGAGGGCTTCCCCTGCAGAATGCGTGCACCCTTAGCTAGAACAGATCCACCCTCCCTGCCTGGCAGGTGTGTCTGACACACGACATGGCTTGAGAGCCACACGCGAGCGTGAGGAGCACGCCCTTGCACCAGGCAGCCGGCACCAGCCGACCTGCCCACCCTGGAGGCAGCCAGGGACTCGGGAGGCTCTGGCTGGGTGTCCAGCTCATGCCCACCCACCGCACCTGACTGCTGTAGCCAGCAGGGGAGACCAGGGTCTAGGAGCAGCAAGCACCAGGCAGCGAACCGCTGGGTCACACAGGGCCCGCAGCCCCAGCAGCTACAGCCCACAGGCAGCTGAGGCCAGCTGACCCTGGGTCTAAGATCCCTGGAGGTTTGGGGGTTCGAGGCTCCCCAAAGAGCCTGCTGACTGGGGTGTGCACCCTGCCCAGCCTGGGTGGGGGCAGAGGCTCAGTCCCCAGCAGCCCCAGGGGGGCACACCAGGAAGCAGTCACTGGGGGAAGCAGCCCTGGGGCTGCAGGGAGCACGTTCCGTAACCGTCTCAGCCCCCGTTCTTTCCTGGGGAGACCAGGAGTCTGAGGCCCTAGACCTGCACACCCTGGAAGGCTCTCCTCCCGCTCCCCACCACTAGCTGCATGTCCAGCTTGGCCTGGAGCCCCAACCTCACTGGGGGCTACATGTACGCATGCTGGCCGCCACCCTCTCCCACCTGGAGCACCCCGCCTCCTCTCCACCTCGGTGTCCCCTCCCCCCGACACACACACATTAGGCTGCCTCCTCCCAGAAGCCCTCCCGTCGACACTTAGGATTACCTGGTCAGCAGTCTCTCGGTGTGCACAGGTGGCCGAGGCACCTCGGTCTCATCCCTGCCAGTGCCAAGTCCGTGCCCAGCATGCGCACACAGTGAGTGCCAAGCCACAGTGGCTGTGCACTGGCTGGCTGCTGGCTGCACAGCCCCCAGCACGCACAGCTTGTGTCCCCACGCCCATGCCCACGTGCTCACTCGCACACGCCCAAGCCCTGGCTCCCCCACACTCGTGCCCCACTCGTCCATGCTCCTGCCACGTCACTCCAACGGGGGCCGGGGCACAACAATGTGAGCCGCTGGCTGCCTTCGCCAGTCGGCGCTGCTGAGTGGTTTCCATGGCGACCCTTCTTGGCTCTGACGGGAGCCAAGGAGGGATGCTCCCATCCCGGGAGGGAGGGTGGGACAGCAGGGTTGCAGCTCCCACCAGGGACGCCCCCATCCCAAGCTGCTTGTCCCCTCTACGCTCAGTGAGTCACTCAACAGACCTCAGACAGCCACTGCACCTGCAACACAGCTGAGGAACTGGGAGCCCAAAGGGTGTTGGGTCAGGTCCTCAGGCTCAGCTCGCCCTCTCCGCAGGAGACCCTGGCTTCCTCACGGTCCATTGCCCCCTCCCCGTCCCCGGAGCCTGCACCTTCTGCAGCCCCGGCCCCTTCCCCATCCCCGGCCTTGGAGGCTGCCCCTCCCTGTCCCCATCCCTGGAGCCTGCACCTTCTGCAGCCCTGGCCCCCTCCCTGGCCCTGGCCTTGGAGGCCACTCCTCCTGCAGCCCCCGACCCCTACCCATCCCTGGCCTTGGAGGCCACCCCTCCACAGCCCCGGACCCCTCCCCATCCCTGGCGCTTGAGCCTGCACCTTCTGCAGCCCTGGCCCCCTCCCCATCCCCGGCCTTGGAAGCTGCACCCCACCTGGCTGCCGCAGTGACGGAGAAGGGCAAGGAACGGGGTTGGCAGTCCTGTGCCGCTGCCTGCCCCACCTCCCCGGGGAGCCTGAGCCTCTCTGCAGGAGCTCCAGCCCTGGCACTTGGGCAGAAGCCTCGACCTGTTCCCTCCTGTCACAGCCGAGGACAAGCCAAAGGCTGGGAGCAGGTGCAGGGCAGGCCGTCTGTACTGGGCACCCGCGGCCACTCCAGTGGCAGACATGTGACAGGGGCCCACAGACCTGTCCTGCCTGCCAGGGCAAGCCTCAGGACAGACACCCCCGGCAGAGGAGCTGGGTGACCAGGCCTGGCCCAACAGAAGACAGGCATGAAGGAACAGGTGAGCTGGCCGA